TAAAATTCACACGTATAAATGCATTTCGAATATCTTCTTCAGTGTACGTATGTGAAAGAATATGAAAAAAACATGCAGGTTATATAGGCAGAAAGGACATGTTAACAATAAAAATAAAATAAAAATACTCAATGAAAATACATGTTAGAAATAACCAATGAAGACTGTTTGGACAGGAGCCGATGAGAACAGAAAAAATTTTTTTTTTTTCTTTTGGAGTGGAACGGATGATAACAGAAAATGGATGTGTATGGTAAAATGTCTGACGATTTCGTTAGACTACATGATGAATTATCAAGAAGCCGCTATAATAATAGTCTCAGGTGGTGACAACTGCAATAAGAGATTTGTCCTAATTCTTGGACAACCCAGAAATATGGTTTTTTCGTCTTCTGAAGCAGATCTGATGGCGCTTCGAAAAGCTTTTTAGGGGTTTTTCACTTGAGAGAGCTCAAAAATATCAAAAAAGATTTTTGGGTAAAAATCATCGAAAAAAGTCTTTTTGGTATTTTTGATTTCGCGTGAAAACGAAACATATTGGAAGTATAACGGTAGTGGCAAAAACGGAGGACCTTTTTAGGCGAATCTTTTGCTGCATTAAAAAAATTTTCTAAAAATTTTTTTGAAAAGATTTTTTGACGGATTCGTGTGCGTTGTGTAAGGTTGTTAGTGAGGTTGTCAGTATAGTGGTTCAGGTCACTCTAGTACCTTCTCAAGTCGTATAAATGCATCAGCACGGGTATTTAACCAGTTTTGGGGTAAAAATCATCGAAAAAAGATGTTTTCGGTTTCGCGTGAAAACGAAACATATTGGGCGCATGAGGATAGAGGCAAAAACGGAGCATTTTTTGCGGTGAACTTTTTGCTGGATTAAAAACGTTTTTGAAGAAAACTAAAACGATTAATGGATTGGAGTTTCTGAGCTATTATTTAAAGAAAAATCAATAAAAATACTTTATGGTAGTTTCGCGCGTAAAAAGTGGGCATTTGACATCCGATAATGCGTGGTGAATGTGAAGGTTGGTGACAGTGAGTGGTGGTGGCGGTAGTGAGTGATGATGGTGGCAGTGAGTGGTGGTAGTGAGTGGTGGTGGCAGTGAGGGGTGGTGGTAGTGAGTAGGGAGAGAGACAATATGCAGCGTTTTCGTTGGGAGTTTTTTTACTCTAACTGGTTGCATGACTTATCTGCGGTTGAAGGATATGCTTGGGTGGTTTCTTTCTTACAAAAGTTCTGGCAAGGTTAGGTGTTGTGCGAAAACCGAATATGGGCCTAATAGGCTGAAGGAGTGTGTCGGTAAACATTTGCCGCCAAAGCTGGTTGAAACGTGTGGCAAAACGGTTTATCCTGCTTGGATTCGAGAAGATTGTGCTACTGTTCTGATGATCATCTCCATAGATATACCGTGCAACGCGCTAAAGAAAGAGAACAATGATAGATGAGATGGAATCTCCGTATGTCATGCGCAATGCGTGTGACAATCTCACGTGTTTTTTGTTTTAGACGTATCAAAGCAATATGACGACAGCAGATTGCTTGACGTCAACGGTTTCATAAACAACAAGAGAGAAATGATAGCGATATTGATGTGAACAGAGCGACCCGGAAGAAACGATCATTTATGGTGTCGACGCAATCGATATATTTTGCCTAATTTTGACGCGCGCAAACAATAATAAAATTCTTTTTAAAATGACGAATCGTGACAGTTGAGCTACAGTTTAGGTGTTTCACTTTCGACGCATGGATTAATCACGGTCTGTGATGTGGATCGTCTGATAAACAGCAGCAGTTTGACGAAGCGAGCGTGAATTTGAACGTTGATGAATGCGCTCATATTGTGTAGGTCAATTATCGTCTGCATTCTCTTGTTCTCGATGATCTTCTTCTTTCCTCACTTCTCTATATACTTTAGAAATGCGACGCTTTTCTATCTCAGTAATTTTTTTCGTTTTTGTTATCGATTGCTGTAATTCCATGCTCGCGTTCGTTCTGGTACTGAAGAGTATCAGGACAATGCCTTCTGTCGTTTTGCCTCATCGATCAATTGCGTTCTGTTCACTTCTCTTTTTTTGATCGTTTTTTGTTGCTTGAATGCAGTATCTAAATATGCTTCCTTGCATATCGATTCATTTCATCAATAAAAGATTTATGATATTTAGCGAAACAACTTCCGACAATCATCCAATTGAATGCTTGTATCACTACTATTCTTCGATGATAATGATAGAACAGTGGACATCGCAATGATTTCTTGTAGGATGAGTATAAGATAGATGAATTCTAAGATACTTACAAGCCGATCGTTTCTTGGGAAAAAAAGAATGAACTTGTGATGAGTATTTGCTGAGTGTCCGTTTGACTATGTGAAGAGAATGCTTTCATGTTTTCTGATAGGTGGTAATTGATTACCTAGTGTGAGAGAGCGCTTGATGTTGTCGAAGGCAGTTGGTTGTATTCATCGATTCGTGTCTCTACGATTCCGTCAGTCAGCCCTCCAGATTACTTCGTTTAGTTTTGTGGCCTTCAAAAGATGTGTCTGCTGTTCCCCCTATCGGCTCTATATCGCTCGATCAATCCCCGCTGATGTGAATTCGATTGCAACAATTCCTCTGCGGCAGTATGACTATGTCAGTTGATCGAAGTCAATCTGTTTCCATCTATTCGTCTTTGTGGTTTCGTCGATCAATCGGCCGGGCATGTTCGTTCTTTTCGTTAGCTGCTTCCAATCTGTTTTTTCCTGTTTCCCTTCCGACTTTGTCCTACTGGATTGGTTTCCGTCGATTCGATTTTGCCAATACATGACTGTGACTTCGTCTGCATCAGATCTTTTCGGACAACAGTTCTATGTCAATCCGTCACAACGCATTCGTTTTTATCTATTCCTCTCTACCGTTCAGTTGATGAATCGCCCGGGTAAGTTCGTTCTGTTCGTCGGCTTTCACAATCTTTTTTTCTGTTTCTTTTTCAGTTGCCATAATCTTGATCGATCCCTGTCGATGTCTCTTCGTTTCAGTCAATTTCTCGCTCGTTCGTCGATTTCAATCGGTGACACTACAGTAACAGCTACGAGACGATAGAAAACTTGCGCGCGCGTTAAGAAAAGTCACATTTATCGCATGCAAATGGTCTTACAATTGAGTACAAACGAACAGCGTGCCGGTGGTTTAACACTGTTTGCACGCGTTATATGTGGCTTTCGAATGCCAGTAACAATGTCAACATTGCTCGCTGTGTGAACGGCGTTTTCCCACTTTTCTATCTGATTGAGTTGCACTAATCATTAACATAAATAATTTTCTTTTATAAAATATCTCATTGCCGTTAAGTAGATTGGAATCTTATTGGAAAGTAAGATCGACGAAAAAGGTGCCGTAGCTAGAAGACATTTTTGACGCCATTGGAAACCTCAAACATTAGAGTACTTGTCAAGTCAATTTTTTTTCTTGAAATATACATTTTTAATCTAGAAACTTTACTTTATTTAACAGAAAAAACTGAGAAAGATTGGATAAAAACTGACTTCACAATAGCCTTCGACATTTTTGCCTCCATCCATGCGATGTAGATTAGCAGCAGAGGCCCTCTATTTGTTAAACTGTTGAGCATGCGAAGTTTATTAAAGATAATACTGATTGATGCTAGTGTTAAAATTTGAACCGGAATAATGTTTTCACGAACTTCTCTCTCTGATACCAGTCGTTATGAACCAGTTCCATCTCGCTGATTGTCGCCGTACCAAAGTCGTAATCTTTAAAATGTTCGAGCATTTTTATAAATTCTTCTTTTGCTGTGAGCGGTTTTGTGAATCGAACCACAGTAACATGCGCCGTTTGAATAGAGTATTGCTTATCTATGCTTTGCTGAAGTGAAGAAGTTTTAAATGCTGTTCGCAGGCTATTCCGAAGCTCATCAAGAACAGGTTGTTGAGGAAATCCCTGGATCATAATGCACGATGGTGATACAGTGATACCCTTAAAATCGATTCCAATATTCTTTTGCGATGGTAAACATTTACAGATAAGATCGATATAGTCCTGAACTGCAATCTTCTTTAAGTCAAATCCTTCATAACAAGAGATGATCGACATTACAGTAACATGCATATCGGAAGACGGATAATAATATTGCTGCGGTTCAATCGCGTGTAAAGCAGCAAGAAATTTCAGAATCCGATGTCTCACATGTTCATCCGGCTTGATCAAAAGTGTTACACCAAGTCTTCTATCAAGTGGTGAATCTATCAGATCATCTGTTTCATATTGATCTGATCTGATTTTTTGAATGCCATCATTATACAGTTTATTATAAGTGCTGATCAGTTCTGCTGACATCGATTCCCTAATTTCCTGTCAATAATAAACACATGGTTCTGAATCGAATGGTGATCCTCTTTTCGAAAAAATCTCTAGGTGAAGAATTAGGAACTAGTTTTCATTTTGGATCATAAGTCGGCTTTAAACTATGCTGATGGTAAATGTCCCCCAAATTAAGTTAAATAGTCAAAAAAAATTTTTTTATAGACTCAGAACGTCGTCCTGCATTTCTGGTATAGATACCCTCAAAATCTGAAAACTTCTTTTGCTTATATAACACTTTCTCAAAAACTTATTCTTAAAACTGTTCAAGCTCTTTAGAAAAATACTTGAAAGTATTTTAAGAAGCGCATTCTTATATACGTAGTTGTATGCATTAATATCTGTAAACCGGAATAGCTCAATGGTTAAAGTAACAGACTCTAAACCCTGTGACATCGTAGATTCGATCCCTATTTTCAGCTTTCTCAACTTTTTCATTTTTTTTCAAAGACATATTGACAATTTTCACGCTTTTTAACTGTTAAAAAATAATCATTTTATGATGTAAAAATGATACTGCGGATTATCTTTTTAAGGTTATTTCTACATCATTAAAAAATGGTGAAATAATGACCTTAAAAATTGACCATTGAAATAACCTGACAGTGATCATAAAGTCAAAAAATGGCCATCAATAATGACTCATAAAAATCATCATTTTCCGTCTCCTGGGTAAGAACTGAAATATTGTGCTTTTTTCTCTTCTAACAAGTGAAAATGAAGTATGAAAATGTGTGCTTTACACTCACCTTTCTATTGATACTCTAATCTGCATGTGAGAAAAAGAGAAGAACAAGAACAGAAAAAGCAAAACGTCGGCGATATTTGAGAAGAAACAGGCCTCTAATGAGTGACTTTAAGTTTTTTTCTTGATAGTATCAATGTAAAGCAGTTAAATCAGTCTCGTTCTGGTGTGGCAGGGAAAAACTTCGTTGACAAAGCTTTGGTAATGACGATAATGTTGCAATACTTACACTCTCTCTTTCGAACATTTCGTATGACACAATAAACTGATCAATCACCTTTCAGATTGCTGCCTTATTCACTTCTCCGCTTCATTGTAAATACACTGTTGTCGCTAACATACACTCAGGCCTTTTCTTTATTCTTGCAGTTTTTGATTTAGGGAATGGTCGACGATGTTGGATTAATCTTTACACTTGTGGACGTGTTTTCAAACTAATGGAAGAATTGATCTTCGAGCAATGGTGCAAACTGAAAAAGTGCAAAATCGAGTTTTATTCTTTCAGTTTCCTAATGACTTACTCGGTATCATTAGAAAATTTGGTGCTTGTTCCGCGTTGAACCAAATTGGATAAAAATTGGGCGCTAAATGCAAAATTTGTCGGTGAATCCGACAGCGGGTTCCTTATGATTACATCTTCACTTCTTTTTTGGCGTCGACATAATCAACGTGGTTTTTGCCTAAATTTTATTTTTCTCATTGGCGCCTTTTTTTTCAACCAATGAGAAAAATAAAATTTAGGCAAAAACCACGTTGATTATGTCAACGCCAAAAAAGAAGTGAATATGTAATTATAAGGAACCCGCTGTCGGATTCACCCACCGACAAATTTGGCATCTGCCGCCCAATTTTTATCCGATTTGGTTCAGCGCGGAGTAAGCACCAAATTTTCTAATGCATTCTACGTAGTGACTGTGATGAGAGAGCACGTAGAGGATGACGGACGAAGTGTACAACATGCACAAAAAATGATGAATAAGGACATAGACAAAAAATATGAACTTACCAAATACTATAAAAAGAGTACTTTTTCCTTACAAGGGAGCCTCTTCAGGTGTCCACCTCCGATTTCAATGCTTAGTGGTACTATATAATGTACTAGTAAAAACCTTAAAAGGATTTGTGGCCTTATTACTGTTTTGAAACGCGATGAATATTTTTACTTTCCCTGTACAATGCATTAGGTTAAACAGTAAAAGATTCATAAGTCAGCCAAAACACGATACAAAAGGCTGAACATTTTTTCTGTGGTAGTGCTAGATGTCTATGATAATCATGGGAGGTATTAGTTTTCCAGCTTCATTATTTCAGACGTTATAGAATTTTCCTTTCTTAAGAAAACCCACGTGTTTTCCGAAACGGACGAAGCATGCGATGTCAAGAAAATTTGCTGAAGAAAGAAAGTCAGAGACTGATGGGTTAGTCGACCGTTCAGTCTGACGAACAGCATCATTAGAGAGAACGTTGTCTTCCTTCTTTCTAATGTTTCTCTGCTAATATATTTCTTAATAAGTAATAATTGTGGATGTTGTTTTAACAAGTAATCCTTTTTTAACATTAATTTAACTACATCAGCAAAATGTGTCATTTTTAATATAAATTCTTTTGTTATATGATCAACTTTTTCGTATGGAAGGAAATCAAATGTATATCTGCTTCAGACATTGTTGTATGTGTATCAATTTCCAATATTGTTGATGGTAAGTTTTGTTCAATTAAATTTTCATTCTCCAATAATAATATTCGAGGAATCCAACTTTTTATTGGAGTAAGAATCAATTCTTTTAAACAGAAAATATGAGAATTTTGTTGTAGAAACGTTTCTTTGGAAACTGCAAAAAACATGTTTTTTCCAGTTTCAAATTGCTGTTAAATTCCTCGATCTCCTGGTAAAATAATATCCTCATATTTCAACAGCTAAATAAATGCACGTTTGTCAAAACTTATATGCGAGAAACTATCCAATTCAATAAAATGCTCATGTTTTCTAATCGATGCATAAAATCATTGCTTCGGACACATAGAATACCGCCTGAAGAGTGAACAGAAAATGTAACATTCTTAAATTTAGCCAGTAAACTGGGAGAAGATACCGCAAAAGCCGGAGAAATACTGTTAACTCAAGCTGTTAAAGACAAAATTAGCAATAAAGATTTTAAATTTAGAGAAATTGATGAAGTTTTCAAAGGCT